GAGAGAACTGATTGGCTGCTTCTCATTTTGTAATCAGTTTGCAAAATGAGTCAATGTACCCCTTTTAATTATTTCCAGACTGGTTGTCAATCGTTCCTGCCACTGTTCCTTGTCCAAAAGACCTTGTACAGAACATTGCAGATCTGATCCCCTTTATCAACCCTGATGGTCACCATGGCAACAGTGGCAACATCCAGGCAGCTCATCAGGGCCATTAGCAACACAAGGACTTTCAGCACCAGCAATCACTGAGAAATATATGAGATGGATGTAAATAAAACCCCAGAAGTGTAAATACTTCTGAAGAACCAGTCAGGGTGCATGCTGCCAAAAAACATTGCATATAATCCCTGCATTGTAATTCTGATATAATTTACTGCATGTTTCATAGATGTACATGTTTTAGTATCTTATGTTTAAACGAGTCCATGCACACATAATGCAAACTACATCATCGTGCTTTGTTTCACATTTGAGTTAAATTTCATGCAATTATTGATGATGCACATGAAGAAGGGGTTCAGATTGTTATGCAGGGATTCTAAATGATGATTTCGAAAGAACTGCAACAAAAAAAAATATGAAAGGATTGTGTTGTGTATTTGAAATGAACGTCCTTCAGAGCAGAGGTTATGAAAATGGGTTGTTCATACAGGAACACTGTGCCACATCTTGTTGTCTGCATGACCTTACTTTGTCTTTGCTCAGGTTAGTGCCGTTGCCAGGATACTATTTCCTATGGCAACACTTGAGACGGTGAGGTGAGCAGCTCTGAAAAGATCCAGGTAACTGGCTGCTCTGTATCCTGCAGACCGGAAGTCCGTACATGACCATACAAACCCAACATGCACAAACGCACACAGACACACGTACAGCACTTGAATTTCTGTGAGGCTCAATGCCGTGGATGATACCAACACAACAAGACGACTTCCTGTTCCACTCAGCCTTGATTTAGTGTAACCTCACAGATTATTTCACATTAGGGTATTCACATGGAAGTGACAGAGCGTGACTATCTTTTTAAAACATGTGCATAACCTTCATGACTCTTCCACGTCATCTTTTTTGATGGTTTATCAATAATTTTCTCATGCATTTATCATAACTCAGGTATGTGATGAATGCAGTAGATTCAGCTCCTCTGTGAATGATGCAACATACTGTTCAACAAGGATTTCTGCAAAGGAATATTCATTCTTCTGCAAGAAACTGAAGTTCCGACTCTACTTAAGGTAAAGTGAGAGCAGCACTTACTGATGTCCATTACAGCTACAGAAGAAGGACTTGTTTTTTTACGTGTGTTATATGAAGGGTAGCATTTCCGATTCCATATTCATTGCAGCACACAGCAGACGCCATCTGCATGAGAGCACACTGCCACCATTTGTTGCAAGAGTGTTACTACCTCAGTTCTCACTTGCGAGAAGTACTCTCAAAAACCACTTTGTTAGAAACACCTCAAGTTTCACTCCTGTAAGCTCAGATGGAAACTAGACCGTCACTAGACAGTTAGACAGTTGGCTGTTAGACAATTGGCTGTGGCATTCAAGCAATCAGGGAATTTGAGTATTGTTTGGGACCATGTACCTCTCTTTCTGTTCATACTTTGTGCACCCTGTCACGTAGCAAAATTTGTCATAAATTGCTTTCATTAATATGAGAATTATTTATTTGAACTTCAGTCAGATCCAGTAGAATAGGAGATTGGCAGCATAAATGTGCAGCTGAGAAATCTGCAGAAATCCTACAGAATGCATGCCACGAAGAATTTAGTTTGTCTGTTTTGAGCACTGTTAGTATGGTGTTCCTAATAAAGTGCTTGCTGAGTAAAGAAATGCCTGCATGTGTCTGTAGGTGCTAAAATCTGAAAAACATTTATCCCTGACCCTGTTCCCAATCCTAAAATCTTTTCGTCTTGCAAGACTTCTTGTCCCACTTCCATATTGCACACAGACCAAGGATGTTGGAATTACAGAACAAAGTGGGCCAAGTATTGACGCCTTTCTTCTCGCAGGAGCTGACAAATCTCCATGGTCATTGGCTGCACTTAAACAGCCTGACAGGATGCAGGGACGTCATCAGAACAGCACTGTGCCTACATTCATTCATTGACCGTCAACCCTTCTGAAAAGAGAATGTCAGGGACGAAGAGCTCATTCGAAACAGCGGATGAGTATTGTCTGGCAGGGAGGGCTCTTCATCAGCGGGACTCCATTATGACTCATCTGTACGATACACCCACCATCTCTCTTTACTGTGCAAAGCTTCCCATTGTGCTGCTGAGTGTGTCTCATCCAGCACTTGAGAGATGAGCACTGGGTCTCATCCTTTTGAGTTATGGGTCCACAACACAAGGATGTCAGCAGTCTGTAAACAGTGGTTACAAAATATGAGCATGGAATTAATTAGACTGCCCATGCAGCTCGGTTGGGGTGATCGATTTATAAAGATTGCTGAGCACAAAAGATGAGAAACCAGGGGAAATCTGTGTGTTTATTATTGTTGCTGCAAAATCTGAGTGAGCTTAAGTATCACTGCATCAAAAGTGATGGAAGTTTGTGGGTTTTCCCCAAGTTTGGATGATGCCTCACTCGGACTCGAGACCTGCAGTGTGGATTTGTTGTGTAGCATCCTGCAGGGTCAAGGCCTCACTGATCTTCGATATAAAAAAGAGGATGAATAAATGAATTTGTATGTTGTGGAGCTAAAGTTAAAAGTACCTGAAAATAAATCTATTTGAGTAAACATAACAAAAAATAACTTGAGTACAGTAATGAAGTAAATGTACTTTGTTACATTACACCACTGCTACTTAGTTCTGCCGGAGACACATAAACCATCACAATCATATATAAACATTGATTTCATTTGATGGACTATCCACACTGTGTTTGGTAACATACAGCA